GTGATGGTTGTAAAGCTCTGTAAATACACTGAAAACCACTGAATTGTATACTTTAAATGAATAAACTTTATGGCATATAAATTGTACCTTACAGCTGTTAAAAACAAAACATTGTTATTTTTAAAAATTATACTTATGAATATTAATTACATATTCAGGCATACCTTGTTTTATTGCACTTTGCTTTACTGTACTTTGCAGACACTGTATGTTTTACCAATTGAAGTTTTGTGGCAACCATGTGTCAATCAAGTCTATCAGCTCCCTTTTCCCACTAGTATTTGCTCACTTTGTGTTTCTGTGTCACATTTTGGTAATTTTTGCAATATTTCAAACTTTTTCATTATTATTATATTTGTTATGGTGTCTGTGATCAATGATCTTTGATATTACTATCTTAATTATTTTAGGGCACCACAAACCTCACCCATATAAAACAGTGAACTTAATTGAACATATCTGTTCTACCTGTTCCACTGACCAGCCATTCTTCCATCTCTCCCTCTCCTCAGACCTCCCTATTTCCTGAGACACAGTGATATTGAAATTAGGACATTTAATAACCCTATACTGGCCTCTCAGTGTTCAAGAGAAAGGAAGAGTGGCACGTCTTTCACTTTCAGTCAAACGCTAGAAATGATTAGGATTAGTGAGGAAGGCATGCCAAAGGCTGAGATAGACTGAAAGCTAGGCCTTTTGCACCAGTTAGCCAAGTTGTGAATGCAAAGGCAAAGTTCTTGAAGGAAATTAAAAGTGCTTTTCCAGTGAACATCCAAATGATAAGAAAATGAAAGCCTTATAGCTGATATGGAGAAAGTTTTTGTGGCCTGGATAGAAGATCACACCAGCCACAACATTCCATTAAGCTAAAGCCTAATGCAGAGCAAGGCCCTAACTCTCTTCAATTCTGTGAAGACTGAGAGAGGTGAGAAAGCAACAGAAGAAAAGTAGAAAACCTGTTCATGAGGTTTAAGGAAAGAACCATCATCATAACAGAAAAATGCACGGTCAAGTAGCAACTGCTGATGTAGAAGCTGCAGCAAATTATCCAGACAATCCCTAGCTAAAATTATTGAAGGTGGCTACACTAAATAACAGCTTTCAATGTAGATGATAACAGCCTTTCTTTGGAAGAAGATGCCATCTAGAACTTTCATAGGTAGAGAGGAGAAGTCAATGCCTGGCTTCAAAGCTTTAAAGGACAGGCTGACTCTTCTTTTTAGGAGCTAATGAGGCTGGTGACTTTAAGTGGAAACAAATGCTCATTTACCATTCTGAAAATCCTAGAGCCCTGAAGAATTAGGCTAAATCTATTTGTGTTCTATAATGGAACAAAGCCTGGATAACAGCACATTTGTTTACAACATGGTTTACTGAATAGTGTTAAGTCCACTATTAAGACCTATTGCTTAGAAAAAAGATCTCTTTCAAAATATTATTGCTCATTGACAATACACCTGGTTATCCCAAGGGCACTGATGGAGATGTACAAAGAGATTAATGTTGTTTTCACACCTGCTAGCACAACATCCATTCTGTAGCCTATGGATCAAGGAATAATTTTGACTTTCAAGTCTTATTTTTGAAGAAATGTTTCATAAGACTATAGCTGCCATATTTCTTGGATGGATCTGGGCAGAATAAACTAAAAACCTGGAAAGGATTTATCGTTCTGGATACAATGAAGAACATTCATAATTTATGGGAAGAGGTCAAAATACCAGTGTCAACAGAAGTGTGGAAGAACTCTCATGGATGGTTTTGAGGGGGTTCAAGGTTTCAGTGGAAGAAGTCACCGCAGATGTGGTGGAAATAGCAAGAGAACTAGAATTACAAGTGGAGCCTGGAGATGGTACTTAACTGCTGAAACCTTATAAAACATTTTTGTACTGATGAAGAGCTGCTTCTTATGGAAGAGCAAAGAAAATGGTTTCTTGAGATGGAATCTACTCCAGGCGAAGATGCTGTGAAGACTGGTGAAAAGACAACAAAGGATTTTGAATAGTACATAAACTTAGTTAAGGCAGTTACAGGGTTTATGAGGACTAACTGCAATTTTGAAAGATCTGTAGGTAAAATGCTCTCAAACCACCTAACATGCTATAGAGAAACTGAAAAGAAGAGTCAATTGATGTGGCAACCTTCAGAGTTACCTTTTATTAAGAAATTGCCAGAGTCACCCCAACCTTCAGCTACTACCTCCCTGATCAATGAGCAGCTATCAACACTGAGGCAAGACCCTCCAACAGCAAAAAGACTATTACTCCCTGAAAGCTCAGAGATGGTTTGCATTTTTTAGCAGTAAAGTTTTTTAATTTATATAGTTTTTTTAGACATAATGCTATTGCACATTTTATAAGCTATAGTATAATGTAAACATAACATTTACATGCACTAGGAAACCAAAAATTTCATTTGACTTGCCTTACTGCAGTATCTGCTTCGTTGCTGTGGTCTGGAACTGACCCAGCAGTATCTCTGAGATATGACTGTAATTTAAAAGAATCCTAGCTGAGACTCAAACTTCACTGACACCAGTATAGCAATGATAACTGAAGAGATAACTGAAGGTTAATGAAAATACATATTTTCTTTCCTCTGAAAAGTTGTTACCAAATAGAGGGCTTGTTTCAGACTCAATGGTGTCTCAGAACTGAGAAATTACCACAATTCAAACTTTTTCTTTTTTACTAACTAAATATTGAATTACATCATGTAAATGTATCATAACTTACCTATCCCGTACTGATGGGCATTGAGGTTGTTTCTAAATTTTTCCTATTATAAATAAAGTTTCAAACACTGACAACTTCAATTATAATGTTCTAGTTCTGAAAGGAGGTAGATTTGGTGAAATTTGGTGGTAAATTTGCTCTCAAGTACTTTGTATTTTTCTACTTTCATGATTTTATTCATCCTGTTTATTCTTCTTGGGACAGCCCCTGTCATATTCTTTCTTGTAGAAAGTATGCCCAACTTTAAGGTACGAGTCAAATGCCTCCTTCATGAAGCTTTCATTAAACTGCTAGGTGTTACCCTTCAAATGCCCTATTCTTCACTTCAAATGCCTATTTTCGCCCTATTCTTGCACTTGTCTTATTTTTCCTACTAGAGCAAGATTCAATTCATAAAGCATAAGGTATCCTGGAGATATACAAATAAATAAATATAATATATATATATATATATATATATTGCCAGAAATTGCCAGAGTCACCCCAATATCCAGTCACTGGATATATATATATATATATATATATATCCAGATGAGAAAATAGATCTAGAGAGGTAAAGTAGCCTGCCTAAGGTCTTGTAGCCATGAAGATCATGCTAGGAATGGACTCCACACACTTGAACCAGCTCAAGAATCTCATCTTGATTTTCCTAAAAGCAGTTGGGACCATGGCCCATTCATTCTTTAAAGGGACACCTAAATTGGTTAAACTGAACAGACAAACCTTCATTTCTTTGAAGGCTCAAGACCTTCATCAAATATGCAAATATCAGTAAATCCAAACAAATATTGTCAATACCTTGTCAACCTTAGGAAAAAAAAACATGTACCATTACATAATAAGATTGGGTTGAATTAGGCTTATTAAAAAGATGGGCTGTCTCAATGCTTTGATCAAATCAGTTATGAGAATAGCAACAGTGATACATATGCTTCTTTCTTAGCAGCATACTTAGTTTTAGGCAGCAATATTCAAGAATCTCTGCATACTGATGACATTTTCTTCACTTTGCTAAGAATTAACTTATCAAAAGTTAAAACAACCACTGTATTTTATCTTCATGCTTAAAAATGCCATTTCTACTTGATTAAAAATGTTAAATGCTCAACTTCTTCAGTCTACCAAAATCCCCCACTAATCTAAATATACATCTAGAATGAAAACTAAATAACCAAACTTGGAACTGTTTAAGGCTATATTTATATAGAAGAACACGGACTAGGATTAAAAACAAAAATAAAAAATCAACCTATAAAAGGAAATCCAGATTTTATATGCCCCCACAAAAAAATAGCAGTTTTATTTTTTGTTGTTTTTGTTTTTTTGCTTTTTGAGAGTGTCAAGGTATAGTCAATAAATATTCAGGCATAGAAAGAATGAGCGTTCCCCATGATCTAGTTTCTTGTACTAAGAGTGGATGGAGGAACACAATGCTCCTCCTTTTACTGTTAAAATAGTCAAATTCTTCAACTAGCCTATCTACCTGCCCGATAACATTAAAGGAACGAAACAACCTTGGTTTAATCACAAATGTAGATACCTTAGCAGAGAACATTCATTCCAATCATAAATTTCCTTATGGAGAATATTTGCTACAAACTTTTAATCCAGAAGGACCGATAAGCTTCCCGATCCGGAACATTCAAATTCATTTCCCAAACTTAAGTGATAAAACTTGATTTGCGTGTGAGTCTGTATTTATTTCTCACGAGATTTAAGAATAACTTCTACACGATGATATATTTATTTTAAGTCATATTAACGTGGTAGACAAACATTAAACTTTGTTCTCTTAGGAAATAACTTTCAATTGGAAAAGTCAGAGAATGCGATTCAATCAAGTCACCTAAGATTTATTCTTTGAGATACAAGTTCTTGTTGAAGTTAAAATGAACAATGTTCCATTAATATTCTTTCCTTCATTTTCTGTATTTATTCCACACTCCTACTCCATGAAGATCCTTCCAGCTCTGGCACTCCTTCCAACTCTCAACAGTCAGTAGTAGCCTAACATTACAGTAGAGAGTAGAAAATCCTAGAATTTCTTCAAGATTTATCCAGGATCGAGCCCCTCCGGGTCGCAAAGAACTACAGGTCTTTTACTGCTAATTTGTTTCAGAACCACCCTTCACTTCCTTCCTTCCCAAACGCCACGGAACCGTGCGCGTGTCGGGCGTTGGGGTGGAGGTGGGAGGAAGACAGTCCGCACAGAGCCTCCAGCAAGGCAGGCTCTTCCCGGCCTAACCTGCAATTTCTAAGGCCGCAATGCCTCAGGCTCTAACTCCAGCCCCGGGCGCGGCCAGCCCTCGCTTCCCCAGGGTAGGACTCAGCTCAGGTCCACGCAACCAGCCGAGTGAGGCCGCATCGGGCCGTCTCGGCCCGCCCGTCCGCAGCAGCCCCTGGACCCCCGCCAGCGGGGATGGGCGTGGGCCCCGGCGGCCACCGCCCCGACAACTCCGGCTCGGGAGGAGGCACTGTGCCCCACCCGCTACGCCAGCCCCGGACTTACCTGTAGGGGAAAGCGGGGTTCCTGGACAGCGGCCACGAGCCCGAGGGCGGGCGCCGAGGCGGCCGGAACCCGTCCCAGGGACCCAAAGTATCCGCGGTGAGGCAGGGCGTGGAGAGACGCCGGCGGACTGCCGCGGGTCAGCACGGCCCGTCGCGGGGGTCGCTGGGACCTGGCTCTCCCTTAGCACCGGTACGCCGCTGCCGCCGCCGCCATTTTGCCTTCCACTCGGTTTCGCCGCCGCCGTACTCCGGGGCAGGTTTCCCGGATGTGGGCATTTCCCGGCGTCGCTTGCGCGGGGGCAGGGGACTGGGGGCTTCTATCCGCCCGGCGGCGGAGAACGATCGCGCCGCTTGCGTCCTCCATTGCTCCGCCGGTCGCCTGCTCCTCTGCGCGTTTTCGAGCGTCGCCCGCGTCGCCCCCGCATGGTGCTGCCCAGGAGACCCGCCCGGGCTCGGAGATCAGGCTTTCTCCCTTCCAAAGCCCACTCATTTATTTCAAACTCTCGCTTTTTTCAACTGAGCTCTTTCTCTGAACGGATATGAGTTGCTCACTAAAACCTTGCCGTGAACATCAGGATTTGTGATTTCTAGAGGCTTGGAAGTAAATTGATTTTTGCATAGTACTGTTTTCCCGAGTAAATTCGTGTTAATTGTCTGAGTCAACTAGATCAATATATTTTGAACTAGGGCAGATTAACAGAGTTGAGAGATTTCAAATCTGTCAACCGAATTGGTAGAAGTAATTATTGCCATAATTAGAATAACTGTGAGAAGAGGTTTTATTTCTTGTTGAATTGGATGTCTGGAATGGGATCCATTGGGTTTATGATGTCTGAAGCTACCGTCCACCCTTTTAAAGGAACGCCTTTGTTCTGCCTGTAGAACCGTATATATACGGTTAATATTTTCAGAAACCTCCTTTAATCCTTTTTCTACTAGTGACTATAAAACATTTTTAATAAAGACGTGAAATTTTTTGTGATGTTAAGTAAGTTGCTGGCCACTATATACAGAAGTTCAAATGTGAAAACCTATTTTGAAAGAAAACATTACATTGCAAGAGCACTTGGTTGAAAATCTATGTTGCTAAAGCACTGAGTTTGTAGACGGTAGAGGATATGACCGAAGGTGGGTCACTGGATTGTACTTTCTTCATCTGGAGGACTCAGTAACTTCTAGGGTCCCTTTTAGCCTCATAATTATATAAATTATGTGAATCTAGTATGTTCACAGGCCTTTTGTCCTTTCCAGAAGGATTATATAACTGGAGAATTACACTGCCCCCAGAATCTTGCCACGTCTGTCACCAATCCATGGAACTTCTTAAACTCTCCAATTCTAAGCCTAAAGTGAGTATTTCCATAAATTACTGTCCTTGGGGAAATTCTTAGATAATTTAAGGAGCTCAGTGAATTGTCTTATCTAAGACTAGTAGGTTTATTATTATCTAAGACTAGTAGGTTTATTACTGTTAAGTAGGAGGACAGAAAAGAAGGAATGATCAGAAGGAGAGAAAAACCAACTGACAAGAGGAAAACTGTTGCAACTGAGATTGCGGGTTGGGGGGGATACAGGTAAAAGGCTAGAGAAATACTAGGGGTGCTGGATATCTCAGAATGGCAATACCTGCCACAGCATTTGAAGCTCTTTGCGTTGCTGTGATGGAGAACTCTTGCTCCAGCTTCATGGACCTACTCAACTTTTCAGTGCTTCATGGAAGTGGTGTTTTGGGTTTCATTTTTTTTTTATCAACAGGTTAGGGGCCAACTTGGATGCTTGGATGACTGTAAGAACAGGGGCAGCACACGTGGAAGAAGTCTGGAGAGCAACGTGGTCCTGGGAACATAACCCCTCCCAGGAATTCCATACAATCTTAGGGGAAGGTGCTACACTATGAACACCCATACTTAAGGAGAGAATTGAGTTCCACCTATAGGGTGGAGGATCTACATAAATTACTTGGAATTCTGAGATTTTTCTCTTCCCCATTTATTTATTCAAACATTCATTTATATCAATATAAACTTATGGATATTTATTTTATAGCTTAAGTATTTTATTTTGTTGAACAGTTTGTTCCAGCTGTGGCTATTGGGAGCTCTTCAGTTGGCTTGTTTCCCTGTGACATACTCTCTTTGAAGCAGGTAATAGAGGAACACAGGCAGAAAAGAGTTCAGGGCTCCTGTGAGTTTTAAGGCCCTTGTAAGTTTCAAAAAAAGCTCCAATTAAACTCAGCCATTCAAAAACTTAGACCAAAGCTCTGATTGGTTATGCCCTGTGCATAGGAAACACTGTACTTTCAGCCAGTCAGGAGTGGGTTGTGATGTCATCAGTTCAGTTCTCTACTTGGTGGGACTTCCTCCCCTCAGAAGGCAATGTAAACCCCAGACCCCACATTCCCTTGGAGCCCTTTCCTGAGTATTAGGAGCTTTCTCTTTCCACTCATTAGTAAGAGCTTTGCTGTTTGCTCTGACTATTGTCTGCTGGCTTCATTCTTCATCAGTGGCCTCTGAGACACTATCCTGGGGAAAAAAGCAGCAGCGTTCTCAGCCACTGATAACTTTTGGGGGCTCGTTGGGAATATGCTTTGAAAGATGGGTAAGTCAGAATCTAAGGCCATTTTGGTTACTACTACTCTGGGATACATCAAGAAGTGGAACACCTTTGACCTCCAAACCTTGAAGAAGAAGCATATGATCTTCTGCACCTGTGCCTGGCCCAGCTACCAGCTGGAGATGGAGAAAAATGGTCACCTGAGGAAAGTATTGATTACAATACTGCTTCACAACTAGACTTCCTGAGACAGAAGAAATTAATCTTCCACAATACAGCCTGGCCCCTAAATAGCATTCTGAACTACTTGCCCTTAAGGTATATATAAAAGCTGAGATAACTTTCAATCAGATGAACTACAAAGAAAAGAAGCTGATTTCCTTCTGTAATGCCACTTGGTCTTAATACAAACTGCCAAGCAGAGAAAAATAGCCCCAAAATGAGACCCTTAATTACAACACCATTTTGCAATTGGATATTAGTAACTAGAAAATCTTATTAGTTTCTCTGTATGTTTTTATATATTACCCCCTGGATAGTATTGCTAAGCTTGTTTTGTGGCCAGTTAAGGCTGGAGGGAAATGTGGGTTAAAACTCTATTTTGAAGTTGAGTCCTAGCAAATTGCTGCCAATCCTCATGAGAATTACAGCCTAAAATAACTGTGGCCATTATGTCTCATATAGACTATATATGTGTAAATGGAAGACATTTTTCTACCTCTGGATGTATTGCTAAAAAATGGTTTAAAGACAAGCACTTGTCAAAGTTGGACATTCCAAAACTTTCAGAAATTCTGTTAGTAAATGTTCAGCATTGATGCTAATTTAAGTTTAACTAAAACAGACATGTCTTTATGGTTATCAACTGCCTAGGTTTACTTAGTCATTGAAGTTAATGTTATTTGTTAGATCTGTCAAAAAAAGAGGCTTGACTTTGATGTTTAATGAAGGCTTTGTGGGTAGTCTAGCATGGTTGTTAATAACAAATGAACTAAGTAAGTGCAGAAAATAAACTTTTTAATAATAATGTGTGACAATAGGTATACCAAAAAACAGCTTGAAAATCCTTTGTGGTAACCTGAAACCTTAAAGTTCTGCTAAGTAATGAATGCCAGTGTAACAGTTTACAATTGCTTCTTAATTTTCATTGAGAATTGGTGTTTCTAAGGGTTTTAAGTTCTAATTAAGACTGCTTGAAATAGTGAGGGAGACATCTCTCTCTGCATGCTAGAAAAGATGTGTGTTTTGGTAGAGGAAGGAGTGAGGAACGGAAATGCATTTTTATTGAGGGACAAGAAGGTAATTTTGTCTTAAAGTGAAGCTCATGATTTAAAGAGGAAAAACTATATAAAGTTGTAAAAGGCATGTGGAAGTAAATAAATAAAATTTAATATCAAGTACACCATGAGATTAGAATTTTGTTTTGCTCATTAAAAGGACAAAGTTTCTTGAACTACTGGTCTGCTCTTAAAATGAAAGATCATGTGTTTTTCTAATTGTTTTATCAGAATGATTTCTCATGCTTAATGTCTCAATAAGGTGTTTGAATAATTAAGACAAAATCTTGATATTAAAAGAACTAGGAGCTAAGTTTTGCTAAAAACTATGTAAACTGTATCTGCCTTTAAAATCTTTTATTGTCACTGGTTAAATGGATAAGTAATGTTTCATGGTGACCTATTGCTAGGCAGAAAAATAGATATGAGTGGGTAAAGGGAGAATAAGGCCATAAAACCCACTAGAAGGGACTCATAAGTGTTAACCAGATAAAACTAGAGAGCCAGAAAAGACTCAGAGTTAATGAGTTAATCAATTAGGAGCAACTTGGAATGTCGGGATATTCCCCAGATAAAAGTATCCAAGCATAGCCCATGTCTGCATTGTATCAATTAGATCATGCCATTGTAAGATTTACTTTAGCCTGCTAAAAGAGCACATTTCTGATGGCTGTTAGGCTGGTTTGTCTGCTACTGTCCCCTGAAATCCAGTCATAAGAGTTTGGAATTAGACATTAGTTTATTTTTAATTAAACATTTTTACCTGATCAGCTAGATTCTAGTCATTCTATTACTCCTTCTCACCCCCTAGCCCATGGTTTTCACCTTTTGTATACCCCTAATATAGTGAAATATTGGAATTGTTTTGACACTACGATGACTAGGATTTAACTATGGTTCTACCCTGCCACTTAATATTAATCCTGGTTAAGAATGATACCAATAAAATAAATAGTTGCATATTATAGTTTGGATCTCCCCAAGTTTCATACCTGTGGAACAAGAACACTTATTACCACTTCAGACCAGGTAACTACACTGAGCTAGATACCATACTGATAGGATAAGCTTAAACGAAGGCTTGATATAAATTAAACACTAGTGAACTTAGTATGCTTTTTGGACAAGATTCTAGGATTATTAAAAGCATGTTTCCACAATACTTTGAAATAGAAGTATTATTAACAAAGGACAAGGAATTTTTCAATTATGCTATATTTTGGTATGATAGCTATGGCACAGGTATTTTCCTACAATGGCCTTGCAAGATAAATAAATGGGGAAGAATGTCAGTAATAAAAGTTGGCTTATAAATATTTCAAAACTGTAGCCAAATACCAATGATTCAAGTGTCCCTGATAACTGAGAGGATTCTAGGAGTGGGCCTCAGCACTTCAGTCCATTGTTACCTATCTCGTCATCAATGGGATGAGTATAGAAAGCATGCTGGGCAATTCTGAAGATGATCAGCTTCTGCAGAAAAGTTTCAAAGGAGACGGCTAGTTCTTTCCTATACCGAAATATAATTTGTCTTAGAAAACGGATGGACCTATGTATAGATCCAAAACCATCTGCATTAACTCAAAAATATGGCAAGTATGGCTTAGGGAGTATCATGTGTGAAAGTTTAAGGGTTTAAGTTCAAGTAGTCAGCAGTCTGACTGAACAAATGTTAGTGTAAAATATCTTAGCCTTGCAAAGAAATATTGTACCAAGAACCATACTCCCAGCAAGGCAGACACCACTCAGAAATGTTCATTTTGGAAGTCACACTTTAATGATGGTCTTTGGCAAATGGGAGTATTTTTTAAAGGAAAAACAAGCTTGTGAGTTTAGTTCGGTTTACACTGACTCAGTGCTCACTGCAGATCAGATACTGTGTTAAAATAAACCTTAATACAACACTAAGATGTGGGTCCTGTTCTTGGTCTTGTGGTACAGTAGAGGGAGACAGGGTGCTTAACACATCGCTGTTTAAACACACTATAAATGCTACACAATAGGCTTTTGAAACAGAATACATTTTAGCTCAGATTATCAAGAGACCAGGGAAGGCTTTCTTGTGATAATGACACCTAACAGGAGTACAGAAGGGTGAGCATGATTTGGCCAAGAAAAGCCTGAAAGGCTGGGAAAGGAACCTTGCCCACAAGAAACCATTGAAGGGATTTAAAAAGTTTACACTAAAAGAGCTACAATATGTAGTTTTGAGTATTTGAGTACATAATTAAAGGAATTAAATTTTGTGTAGCTCCTGAAGAAGACAAATGGAAGTAAATCTCATTCATGAAAATTTATTTGGTGAGACCCTATGGTAAAGCACCCCAACATAAAGCAAATTCAATAAATTGGTGATTGGCTCTCTCATAGTAGGTTCACATGGTCATTTCATTAACCCACAATAACATGATTCTGCATTTTTTACACGATTATTTTGGATAAAACTCACAGACTAAAACCCTGCCATAATGCTGTATCAATTAAAGCTGAACAAATGAGGGGAGGCTGGAGAAATGGGATACTTTAACATAGTACATTTTCAAGTTGAGTGAAATTTGTTGAGAAAGAGGTTGGATGGTAATTTGTTCAGAAAGCTGTGAAAATGATGATTAAACTTAGGTTGGAGATGCCCTCCCAGTATCTTTCATCTCTGAGATCCAAAAGCTCTGAAAAGAAAATATTTGATAGTTTCATGAATAAGGGCGCTAAGTGACAATGAAAAATTCCTAACTTAAGGTTTTATTTATACTACATAAAATTCCTGTATCTTATTAAATCTGGCAGAATTCATCTACTGATAGGAAATATAACATTATTCAAATTTACTTTATTTTACTCATGGTTACAAATGCCCCTAAATCAAAGCAAACCTTAAACTTAAAACTTGTCTGCAGTCCAAGCTGGTATTCCAAGCTTACATGTCTGGCTCCATTGCTCTACTCTAATTATTTACTGTATGATCAAGGAAAATTGTGTATATTGCTGTTGGAAATTGAGAAGAGTGCTAACAACATATGTGAAACCTTCAAATTTTGTAACACCAGATAATGCAGATGAAAGGAAAGGCACAAGCTTGCCATTCACAGAAGGTAGAAGATGTGCCACCTGGGAGCTAGGGTCTTCTGGGGTGAGAATGACTCTGGGCCCACTCAGAGCAAGAATGTTAGCCTGTAGAGTAGAATGGGAGGTGCCTATACTGGTGAAGAGAGGCGACACTGCAGCTTAGGCTGCGTTAAGACATTCATACAGAGGGAAATATAAAGTTGAAGGAAAATTCATAGCTATGTTTTTATTATTAAATATACATGTTTACCGCTAGGGAATGTATATCCACAAATATGTATGATTTATTTCATTTTTAGAGCAAAATTATACACATTGATAGATAAAAAAGTGTATGAAAAGACTATTGTCTCTGAGATAAATGCTTAAAATTTTCTTTTTGATTCTAATTGTTTTCTGTTATGATTTACTTATATAATAACAGAGAAGTTTAAGAACAATTCCTGACAGTAAAACTATATACAGATTAAAAATTCCTATCAGCAACAATTTCTTTACTTCTCTGATTCTTTGGAATTCAAAGTGACTACTCATCTTTAATAAAATATTTCTGAGCCAATATATATACAAAAGCAGATGCACATGTGTATTCTATTTAAAAATATTGACCCAAAAAAAACAAAACCAAAAAACCCTAAGATAAGGTGGCATAAAAATAACTGAAAATACTTATTAAGACAGAAATACAAAATTACCATAATTACCATTACCAGAAGACAGAGTAAATGAAAACAAACTTCAACTGTGTAATAGTAGTAATTTATCATTAAGGTCTTAACATTTTAATGATGTATTTAATCTGACAAACTTTGTAAAGACAATCCTAAAATTGTCTTAAAAAATGACATATTAGGTCATTATTAACATATGGAAAAGGATAAAGGCACAATTCTATACTCTTACATATCATCACACTGGCCTCATGTATATGTCACCCATCAAATTTTAGGGAAGTTGGCTCACTTATCAATGACAAATTCTATATTATTGTACCATGTCCAGTTTGGTGATTTAGTTGTAAAATTAAACAAAAGCAAAAATTCTTAGGGAAATGTATTTTCTTTTCAAGAAAAAGTTGGGTCTAAGCAGTTGACGAGGTCTCTTCAAACATTGTAATAAAGGAATCTGTCAGAACATTTTCACCTTTAAAATAATTTGAACACCACAAAAATTGTGTTAGTTTTGTTTTACTCAGTTCTTTCTGAAAAAAGGATATTATTAAGGAAATAAAATGTGTAAGAATTGAAAAAAAAAATCATCCTTGTAATAGAAAGAATAAACATTAACATTGGTTAATGCCACCAAGGAGGGATATACCCTCCATAATTACCATCTGTCAAAAAAAGGCCAGAACTCCTTGAGGGTTAATGGTATTAAGTGCCACAACATCAAAGTTTAAAAGCTGGTGCCATAAGCTGTCCAGAATAGTGTGTCTGAAGGCAGTGTATTCATCAGCACAAAGATTCCTCTGATATTCTTCCACCCATTCTAATTCTTTGCCATCAGTCATCTATCAGACTCTGAGACTGTTAGGGGACTATTCACCTAACAAACGCTGAAAGTAGGCATCAACATTAACAAATTTATGGAAGCTTCCTGTGCAAACTCCACATTTTCCAATAATAGAAATTTGCATAGAAGTTGGAATTCGAAAGGCTAACTTATATGTTTTACCTGAGATCTTATTATAATTACAGTAATTTCATGAGAAAAGTTGTCTAGTAACATAAATTGCTTCTGCATCGGTTCCACAAACAAGACAAGGACCTAAAACATCCAAACTGTTCACAGACAAAGTCCTGTTGGGAAGCAAGCTGGTGATTTCAATGCGGTCTTTCGCAGGATCAGTGCTGAGCCACGAGCTCATGAGGGACTGGGGAACGTTAGTCTGGTTACTAACGCTATAAGGCAAAAAAGTACTATTTCTTCCCCCTAGTGAAAAAAAAGAAAAGGTAGGTATAATATCTATATCAAATTTGAATTCCTTAGGCAAAGCAGATTTTAACCCTGCCTTTCTGTTTATTCTTTAATGAAAGTCTCAAAAATGTAATAAATTGGCCAGAATTCAAGTAGAATAAATAAGGGAAAAAGAAACCAAAAAGGTAGATAAACACAGAAATATAAGTCCATAGGTAATAAAAAATGACATAATCATGAGAAATTCTGGACATATTTCAAGATACGTATTTCTAAAAACATATTTCTATATTTCTAAGAAAGATATTTCTGAAACTTGCTTTAAGATTTCCTTTTATTCTTATCTTTTAGATAAATGTTCTTAAAAGTAGAATTTTAGAACATTATCACATTATACATACTGTTATCGTTACAGTGCTCTGCAATTAATATAAAACTGGTGAGGCAACAGCACTATTTCAGTTTAAGTTGTAATTTGCAATTTTCTTTCAACTTTCTGACAGATCTAATAAGGATAGATTTCATTTCTTCAGTGAAGGCCAAGTACCTACTATGTGCCAAGCTCCACACTGTGCTGTGAATATAAAGTGAAGTCCCTAATGTTTTAAAGCTTAAGAATTAGTGGATTTAAATTTTGCTGATTCTTGAAAGCCCACCTCAACTTCTTTGTCTAAGGAGGCTTTGAAGATGACTTTAGTTCATATTTCTCTCTCCATTCCTGGATTCCTCATCATTTGTGTGTACCATTAACTTACTATCTTGTAACATTTCTTATGCCATGGTTTAACTTTCCATACCCCTTTCTCCATAAGGAAATTATACCTTAAAAGCAAGTTGCACAGTTTATACGTTCTACCTTTTCACAGTGTCTAATACTGTGCCTTGCAATAATAGACACAGAATATAGTAAATGGCTTTATTTCCTGTCTAACCAAAGTCCTTCAAATAGTAAAATTTCAAATATAACTTAGTGTACTGGAGGAAAGAAGTAAAAACCAAGGACTTAGTTAATCCTTAGATAAAATTATTAGTTTCTCCACAAATGAAGCTAGCAGAGACAAACTACATGCTCCACACATTACGTACTTCTCCACAATATTTCTGGAAAAGTTCTGTATTTTTCCCTTAGTTCTTTTTTACTACTCCTGTATTATCTTACATTACTCTTGAATACTGTGAAAATTAACACTGAGAACCAACATAGCAAGTCTTCTACCTGGTCTTCTTGCTTCCATTTTTACCATCCCTCTCTACATAGTCCATCCTCTACACAGTAGTAGCCAGAGTGATTACCCTGCTAGTTGCACTGCATCCATCGTGGCCTCCTTGCTGATCTCTACCTGTCTCAGGCCCTTGGTATGTGCTGTTTCCTCTGCCTGGAATGCTTTCATACCTTCACTTCTCTCAGGTGTCCGCTCAAATGTTATCTCCACCAAGTGGCCTCTCCCGATACCAGAACACCCCACCCCTGCCCAATTCTGCTTTACCCTTCTTCATAGTCATCAGTTTATTTGGCCCAGTTCTTTCCCTTTTTGCTGTCAGCTCCCTTTCCCACTTTTCCATGCTCTACTATGTGCTATAGGGACAAACTCCATTTTTCAGGTTCCCTTGCCATCTGTGTTCCGGGTGGACCCTGCCAACGGGAGAAAGGGACAACTACTGTGAGTAACTGGAAGGCAAATGAGGAGAGAAGCTCCAGGTTTCCGGCGATGACACTGGCAGTTAATTCCAGCCCTGGCTGAGGTAGAACTTTTTCTCCTGATCCAAAACCAACTTTGACACATGTCCAACAGTGCAGCAGTAGTTTTTAATAATTCCTTATTTCTGGGCATTATTCATTCTTTTTTCCTATTTGTTCTTCCAGCTTCTTTCATACTTTTATTCTTCCATCCCTTCTAAAACACATGAAAACAATTCCTTCTAAATCTAGTAGAGTTTCTGTTTTTCTGACTGGATCTTTACTGAAACATTTTCTGACTGGATCTTTACTGAAACATTATCTACTTATTGTCTGCTAGAAAATTTTCTCTGTGTGCAGACTCTGTTCTGCTCACTGTTGTAGGCTCCATCCCCTAGAAAAGTGCCTAGCACATGGCAGGCATTTGATGAAAAATTGCTGAGTGAATGAATAAATGACCTTTGGAACCACAGACAAACTCAAAAAATAGGAAGCTTGGAAAATACCCATAACAAAGAAATTCCCCTTGATTTTAAGTGTATAGTTTCTAGCCAACCTTACATTCATCTTTAATCAGGAGATAGGGCCTTTTAGTCTGAGGAAACACCAGTACTTTCATAGACCAACTTTTGTTTTGCCATACACCCTTGGCAATATAATATAAGAGCTGTCAATGTCTATCCCATAGCATGAGGACCCCAGACAATGTACTCAAAACAAGACGCCTGGCTGTCCAAAGTTAGCCAGCATTTCTGGTTCTCAGTAGTATAGCAGTAAGTAGCTGACAGTCAGAATTCAATCCCTATGATACTAGAATTTACCCTAAAGCAGGAGAATGGAAACATTTTGCCATTCTTTAATGTTAAAAATCTGAGAATTTCTAATTTGGTATTTAAAAATGTAATAAAATCACACACAAGAACGTTCATTAAAACTTTTTACCTTGATGAAAGAGTGATGATTTCTCAGATACATCTGCAGAGGCATCCCAGTGCCAGAGGGACCCATCTTCAGAACAGGTAAACAGATGATCTGGGTTGGACGGGTGGAAGTGCACTTCCCACACTAAAGGTAAGAACCAAGACACTTATTCCCTATGCAGATTAATTGAACAAACAGTAAAAGCCTGTCTCTAGGCATCAGCTTTATTAACCTCCATAACACACCTTCAAACCCCAAGTCTGTGATAAAAATCAAAGGCTTCAGAATTTAAGAAAAACACACAATGGCTCTCCAAATGGCTCTAACAGGTAGGTAGGTAAAGAAGCCAAGTAAGTCTACTTGTGTACTAGGCCAGAAAATAAATGCTAATCCCTTGACCTATTATATTTTTTTATGGAAAGGTATGATAGTAGGGTAATTCTGAAAAGATTTTTTAAAAATTGGTAAATTTTATTTTCAATTCCTGTGTTATTAATGTATGAAAGTTATATTATTAGATAGACTGAGAGAGAAGACCATACAAGTAATTCAGAAATGGATTTCTAAGAGGCAGAGTCCAGTTTCGGTTCATGACAGAACTCTGGATACTTCTGGTCTGTATCACAGACATAGCAACTAAGTGCTCCTAGCAAACCGAGACCTGGCAGTGTCCCAAGAATCTGGATCCAGTTTCAGACGGACAGCTTTAAAGAAGCCAATCTTGGAGCCAATGACTGGCCAAGACCCCTTGAAAATTATCTGCAGATAAAACAGGTAGTCTGTGCACAAGAATTCTGTGATTCTGGGGTGGCTGACCTTCAAAAGGCAGCATAGAAAGTGCCCAGGTATAGCATAAAAAGAGCAAGGCACATATTATAGACTGGCAATTTTCCTTCTGACAGTTGCCACAATTAAACATCATGCTACAGAATATAAAGACATCACCTTCCTCAGGAGGAGAAGAATGTGTTCTGGTGAATCCCTATATAAAGTACATAGATACTGTTTCATTAAACAAAGTGAAACAAAACAGCCTGTAGAGCCAAAAGAAAACAGCCCAAATCTAGATTTTTAAGTATTTATTTTCAAACTAGAAAACCTCTGGCAAAACATATTTATTTCATTTCTATCCATGAATCAAGATGAATTTAAAATAATATATTACAATCCACTACATTTGTGTGTATTGCTCAACAATATAGGCTGGCAGTTAAAAATGGGCTGGTAAGAAGATATCTGAAAGTGTGTAATTCTACTACCACTGGGATAGGCAGCACCAGACTCCAGGAGAGCATACCATATTCCCACACTGGAGAAAATTTTCTTTGCTTTTATTTGCTTCTTAAATATAATCCTAAAAGTCATTTATCTTTCCAAGGTAATGGTGAACTTACTTAAACTGAGAGTTGCAATACTGGTATAAAGTTTGCTCTTTGTTCTTTTATTCAAGCAGGGATTGATACCAACTTCTCTTAAGTCAGAATTTAAAGCTATAATCCTCTCTGGCATGATATCTAAGACGGGTGATAAATAAAAAATTTCTGTCCAGCCAAAAAATTCCCCACCAAAATCAAGACACAAACACACACACACAAAACCCAAAACAAAACAAAGACACATGTCTACTGTACTTGTTAGAAAGAGTAAAAGGTACAATAAATTGAGGAACACAGATTTTTAAATATAAAATAATATCAGATATTAAAAAACCTGCATTTGCATGGGAAAAGGACATTCTCACATATATAAACTGGTATTATTTTATGTAGAATAGTTTGACAACATGTATCATAATTTTTAAATTATGCAAACTTTGTGGCTCATCAATCCTATTTCTAAAAAATTATACTAAGAAAATAAGTGTACAAAGACAAACATGTAAGGATAATCACGGTGGTTTGGATATAGTATTGAAACACGTTGAAGAACTTAAATGTCAAATAAAAAAGGATTAGTTAACTATTTTAAATTTACGTAATTCCCCCAAAAGCTGTGATATAGATGCGTATCTATTGTTATGGAAAGCTGCTTATAATATGTCACATAACTCACCCAACAAAAACTACATAGCTACACAACACTTACTTTCAGCTTCATGAGCTTTCAGCAGAGACACAGGCATAGTACCTTGTCTAACATCCCAAATACTCAACATTCCATCCTGGCCACCAGTAGCTACAACATGCTGCTGGTTGGGATGTCTATCAACACAGTGGAGTGGCACTCGGTCACCAGTCCTTTTATGGAGATACAATGACATCAAACATGTTGCAAAATATAATTTATTTTTGTATAACCCATGGAACACATCTTGCTCTAGTACCTAAATAACAACTTTGTCGCTGGAGCTACTGACTGAACTTAAATCATGCCAAAAAACTCACTATATTAAATGTCCCTAAACATAGAATTTTGGGGGGTGGAATTAAAGGCCAATTCTCTCTTCAATTTGGAGACATGGAGAGGAAGATAATCTGATGGTTAAGATGTACAAAATGCATTTCCATTTTCTGGCTTTTAGAAAAATTACATATCAATTAAATAGCATATTCTTTATTCCTACCTTATTTAATGCTTAGTTTATATAATTATTTTTCAGTTTGACACATTTTATTTTATTAGAGAAGGTTGCACACATAGAAAAGGGGATTTCTGCTCAGAAAAAATATCTTGGATTGTATTAATCACATCTAGAGTATCTTACATGCACTATTTATGGAATCATTTGATGTACAGAAGTTCCCCATTAAATAACAGACTTCAGAGATAAAGGCCCTGAATCAATACAAGTATTACTAAATACAGCATGCTGGTATTAGGCCCACCAAATTATATTTGCTTTATTAAATTTAATCAGGGATCATTCTCTTAAAATTCAATTAAAATACAATATGGTTTAAAGTTAGTTGCTATAAACAATTGAACAAATTAATTCTGCATTATGCTACTGAAATTACAAATCAAAACTTACAGTGATAATATCTGGGAGGGCTCATTTCCTTGTTGTCTGAAATCCCATATTTTTAACTGTCCAATTGAATTTACTGTAAGAATCTCAGGAGTTCGAAGGAAGGTTACAGCATGGAGAGTACTGCTATCTGCATTGTCTACAAATAAAGAAAATAAGTAATTAGTACCCCCTTTCCATGAAAATCTTAAGTCAATTCCTTCTATTTATTGAAATATTACCAGTGAGATTCTAAATAAGTTAGTTTAAGTTCTACAGAAAAACGCAGAATAATATACATATTAAAATGGACTCTCCCTTGATAGAAAATGTTATTGTTCACAGGACATGTTTTCCAAATAGTGGGCTGAGTTTTCACATATTTCTCTATTTCCGCTTAAGATTGTTATCCTCTCTTTCTGAGACGGCTGTTCAACCTCCTCTATAACCAATTTTATTTCCCACCAGTGCTTAACCTATAGCCTTCATTTTATTGGTCTAAACCCCAGTGCTTCATAGATAGCCTATCCTGAACTTGTAGTATTTTGCCGACTTATCTCAGATCTATTAATTTTTGTTTTTGTTTTTGTTTTTTTGAGAGGGCATCTCTCATATTTATTGATCAAATGGTTGTTAACAACAATAAAATTCTGTATAGGGGAGTCAATGCTCAATGTACAATCATTAATCCATCTCAAGCCTAATTCTTGTCAGTCTCCAATCTTCTGAAGCATAACGAACAAGTTCTTACATGCACAAATTCTTA